AATCAATATTAGGAAAGGTCCTGCGAACCTCAACAACTACCAAGGTCTCGCATATGACGGAGATTTGCTACAGAGGCCGATGCGTGATGACGAGGCCCAGTCGAGACGATCAGTTCAGATGAAGAGAAAAAGATTGGTAATCGATAAAAATGTAAGAGAATAAATAGTGTCATTCCCTTCGACCTGATCTAGGGAATGGATCGTTTCTGTATATAGAGAGGGCCTCATTGACTGCGTTCTTCGTACCATGTCTCGTTTTATTTATTTAATTGGAACTTTCTCTAAAAGCGATTTTCTTAGTATCTTCTTCTTCGCGGAAGGTGCAGAGTGTAAAGCTTAACTCGTTGAGGATTAATTAGTAAAATGATGTGTAAAAATATTTTGTGGATAGAAGTGTTCCTTTTGTTTACTAAAAGTATAATAATTAATAAATGTTAATTGTCAGATAATTTTATTGGATGATTTCACTCATTATGAGCGAAGCGGTGAGATGTGTAAAAGTCTCTGTGAACAAAAGTATTTCTCCTTTTCACTTGTAAATAGAACAATGATATTGATTATTGAATAAATGATTTTCATCTCAATGAGTGGAGATTAACCATATGTAGATATAATATAAAGAAGAACATATAAATGGAAATAAATCTAAAAAGTAGTTTTATTAACTCCTTTTTAGTTCTAATCAGAATTATGATATTAATTACTGAATAAAATATCTTCCATCTCAAGGAGTTAAGACTAATCAAATGTATAATGTAAAGAAGATATATGTAAATGAAGAAATGTGAAAATGATTGAATTAAGCGAATTAAGAGATTCAACAGAGAAAGTAGTAGAACATTACCCTAGTCAGGGTAAACTGATTCGATAAGAAATATCAAGTTGACAACGAATCGATAATGTGTGATGAAGTTTGTTTATGAAAATCGTACCAGGGGATTCTCTGGTGTTTTTGACTGAGTTCGAAGCCGGAAACAGAGGCCCTGCTGGCGTTCCATCAATGACTCTAATCTAGAGAAAAAAAAAGGATAAAGAAAAAGATAAAAAATGAAACGATAAAGCGTTAAATCTATTTAATTGAAATCTAATCCTGTCACCTGCTGTTGGTATGCGTGTAAGTTAAACGTTTAAGTACTTTATTAAAAACACAAGAAAGCAAAAACCAGTCTTTTTTTCACACAACCCTACGTAAGTTCCTTGACACTTCCTATGATTGGTTTGTTAAACTGATCTCATTGACCTCCTTTTTGTTTATGCTGCAAACCTGATTACAATTAGTGTTTATTGAGCAGATCACTTTATCTGAAAATTATTGTATGTTTATAAAAAAATTGAGTACTATTTCAAAATTGAATACTGGGTGCTATAGTTAATTTATGAATTTTTCGTGCTTAACTTATTTAGCTCTAGAAATGATACAAAGGATATTATGAGCGGCTAAAGGATTTTAGATTTTTTGGTGATATTTGTTTTACAAATGAAGTTTATGATTAATAACTTTATTGAAGAAAATCCGTTCGTGAAAAAGTTCCCTTAGATTCAATGCATTAGAACTATGTCAAATTATGACAAACAATTACTTCCAAAGAAATTTCGTGTTTCCTTCTTTTTTTACAGAAACATCCTTTTCTGTTAAGAAAAATCGATGTTGCATTTTAAAATGAACGAAAGAATATAGACGAGTAAACTGAAAATTTAATTAAAAAATTCATTAATTATGGAATATATAACGCTACACAAGCGCGCACACATACACATATACACATATACATAGAGTCGAAAATCTGACCCCGATTCAAGGCACAAAGGATAAGGATTGAAGAACAGAATCGTTACAGCCGAAGGCTGATTAAATCATTCGTTGGAGAACAGAGCCAAGAATAAACGTTTCTCCTATTGTAGTTCCACGATTTGAAGAAAGGTAGGAACGGGATGGGTGTGCACGTTTTCCTTTCAAAAGGAAAGACGGACAACTTCTCCAAACTCGCCCCTTTCGCGTTAAATTGAGCCAACAAACTCCCAGGACCAAAGTTCAATGGAGTTCATCAGCCTGGTTGCATCTCTTCTAATTAACCTTCCATTGTTTTTCTGTGAAAACTCTCTAACAACGGTCAGGTCGGTCGTAGGTTTAATTTTTATTTCACAATCCAATAATTTCTGCAAATGAGTATTATTAATTACTGTTTATCTGAAAATTTATAAAAAAAGAACAGATGAAGTTAACGAGGAAAGATTAAATATACAATATTTAACGTAAAAGCATAATATATAATAAAATAAGGTAACTGTAATTTATAACAAATATATGTATAATTCTTAAGTACACATACATGGAATGCACCTAATAATTGAGGATTTGGAATGATAAATGAGATATACACGCTCTAAAAGCGAATATTTTCAATTTTCGACCTTTGCCATCTGAATAAATTTAATCAAAAAAGAAATGATCAAAAATATACATTTTACTTGTGGTATATTATTGTATAATCTTTAATACTTGCCATTCGTTATTTAACTTATTAGGTATTATACTTATGTTATATTTCGTATTATATATTATATTACTTGTAATATACTGTAATCTCTGTCATTTAAATCATCTAACATTTAGTATTTGTAGTACACTATAGTCTTTAACACTTAAATGGTTAACCATTTAAGCTCTATAATTTCAGTATTAGTTTTATAATCTACAATTTTTTAATTTCATAATTTATAAAAATATGTGGAATCCATTATGTGAGTGAGTTTAATAATTCTGCTGTTATTTATCTAATAGGAAGATTCCATATATGTATATAATTGTCAATATGGCGGTTGGAATTAATCGGTTAAATTAATTTGATTCGTCCGTGGCATTCGTTCGATCATCTTTAGAATTCTATTTCGAGGTTCTCGGGGTTGTTTATCGATGCACGGAACCCCTCTTGAAAGCCATCAAGCCCACCGAAGAAAATTATCAAAGCGTACCGGAAGTCACATTACGATCATTTTCCAATAGTTACGCTTTCCTATCCTATCTACATTGTATCGAAGGGCCATACCATCGATTCTTGTCGATATCTGTGCCACGGGTACGACACCACTGTCACTTCTGATGGCCACTTCGAGTCCGGAAATAGGAAATAATCAACTCGACGATATCTCGAAATAGACTAACGACGGGTTTGAATTTAGAGTGTGCCCTTGACACTGCCAAAAGATTCAATTTTCCCTCATCACCCATGTCATAATTCAACACTTTTAACGGATACTACTACAGTGAAAATACGATTCGGATATTCGATTTCTGATACATGTTGCATGTTATGTCATTTCGCGATCAATCGACACTCCATATCGACTTAACTCTGCTATGTCCTTGAGCTTATTTTCAACACAATTATGGTTTTTTATTGTCAAAAAATTTCTTTGACTTGAAGAAATTGTTAAAAAGTTTATTGATATAGGTATAATTTCTTGTCCCACTTTGAATTGATCGGAAACCATATTGATCAACTCCATAAATTGAAAAGTAAGAAAGTATGAGGTTACAAACAAATTACAATACAGTAAATTAAATAAAAAGTAATATTTAAGGCAAAAACAGTCACTGTAAGAAAAAATCTTTTTTGTCTTATAAAGACCAATTTTCTGATTCGAGTACATATCTGTTGTTAGGTTAGTTATTAGATTATATAGCAAAAAAAAAGATTGCAGTATACATTACTAAAGATTATAATGTACTACAAATCTTAAATAAAAAACGATTTATTGTTTAAAACTACAACATATTACAAGTAACAACATATAGCATGTTACAAGTATTAAATGATAAATGGTAAGTATTAAAGACTAGATATAGTATACTACAAGCAGAGCGTACAGTTATAACCATTTCTTCCCCTCTAAGTTCATTAAATGGTAAAGATGAAAAATTGATTATATTTTCCAAGAAATTTTTTTAGTTTCTTTTTTGTAACAATATATTTTAAAAGATCTTTAAAGGAATTCATAAATTTGTGAGATATTGAAGGTAACAGAATATTTGGAACATGTACTAAAGAGAAGTTTCATAGCAGGCGTAAATGTCTGCCGAACTCTCAACCTAATTTTCATATGCCACGAATAACTGACGTTTCCGGTGGTGTCACATGGCGTAGGAAACGACGGGGAAAAGTGGAAAGAGAGAAAAAAAAAAGAAAGGTGGCACAAATCGTGGTGAGTAGTCAAGCGAGAAATGGCGTTGCACCGTTGCGTTGGATCGATCGCAAGTCGCTTTGTGTCTGAAGTTCGTCACAGATGGCGGCACTTCATAGAAATGTTTCCCTACTTCGAGGAAAGAACAGGGTGAGTCATAGAACATCAACATCGGCGAGAGCAGTGGTACGACCGCGAATTTCGCGAGACGGTTCGCGCGGATAAACTTTCACAGTAACTTCGTGTTACACGAGGTAAATCTAAAGATTTTTCTCGATAGTTTCTTTAAATTTATATTCACGCCTTGTTAAATCAATTTCCATTATCGAATGATCAAAATATCAGTTATTTATTAATAATTATTCCTTAATATTATATATTTTGATATTTCTACTCTTAATGTAACTAAAAAATATTTCTTCATAAATTTTAATTTCTTCATAAATTCTGAATTTTTAATTTTAAGTTGTAAATTTTCTATAAAAGAAATAATTGTAAGTATTTTCTTAATATATAAAAAAATTTGGAAATTGTAGAGATCGTTAGATTTTCGACATTTAATCGTAAGATTGTTATTTCTTCAAAAGGTTTTGTGAAATCTGTTAGTGATTGATCGCGATCAATCATACTCGATGATCTACTAATAATTGATCAAATTAATCAGAACGTTCGATTAATCATTAATCAATCCTGATAAAAATGACCATCGATCATAACCAAGAACATATTTAACTTAAATGTCACGTGATTTTGATCATTTCTACAGTCACTTTTATATCAAACCTATTCTACTTATAGATGAATTCAATACGACTTACCATTATTACGATTTCGCCTTCATCCAGTCTTAATTATCTTCGTCAATAAAATACTCACATTTTTCACGTTTATATTCAAGCTAACGATCAACAAACTTCGCGATGTCTCATAACCGCTACCGGAAGAAAATTGCAAATTATTTCAGAAAATTGCCCCATGGTAATCCGTCGCAAGAGTGGCGCCACTATGCGGCCAGTGCCGCGAAACGATGCAACGGAGACGAAGGGCGAAGAGAGTTCGCGAATAGAGGGTGCATAGAGGGAGCGAGTTCAGTTCAGGCGCAAAGGTCCTCGGTTAAGGACGCGACGGTCCTGCTAATCGGGACACTATGCCAGGCGGCGAGGGGTCCCCGATCAATCTCCTCGACCACCGTACATCGACCACCTCCGGCGAGTGCGCGAACAGTGACGAAGATGAGAGGACGACGGGCACCGCTTCCAGCACGATGACGACCGTCCTCGCGGGCGACGGTCTTAGACGGAGGAAGGTCATACACGCGGCCAAAGAAACCTTCGACAAGGGTGAGTTTTAATAAATCTCCTCCATTTGTAGTACTACTGATGCCAAACTCATAAATCATCTTGTCATTCCTTATGTTTGATTTTTCATCAAGCAGACATAATGTGGTATAATTCTTTCGGCGTAACGATAGTACATGCATTCATGTGAATACGAATAATTCGTAGCGATAGTTAGTACATATTCTCAGTGATAAACACCAAATGCAACCGATCTAGTAACCGACAGAACCTAACGACTATACAGTCGAATTTGGTCGTATTATTGGACGACATCTAGACATACAATACATCGATATTCGGACCGTTATTCTTTGCCCCTGCGAATATACGTTTCAGTCAGAAAACATAAGAAAGAGTATATTCGCTGTCCGCAGTGCGCGCAGTCACGGATGCTATCTCAGCGGCGTTGGTGCGCGCGTTCTCAATGCCGCGCCGTTGTAAATACATGGGGCTGTGTATGTTCAGAAGGTAGATGGGTTTCGTTACGAAAGCTCGCGCAATAATCGCGATGTGGGGAAGTATTAAATCACTGTCAATGATTTTCGTGGTTGCTTATTTTCATCCACGAATCGATTCACCTTCTGAACCAAAAATGGTTCGTACACACGCCCACCCGGTCATCCCCTTCTTCTTAGCCCGCGAGCCCCCTCTGAATTCAGCTTATCCCCCTTTGCACCCAACTCCACTCGGCTGCGTACGCAGGTCTTGATTCGCGGTTCTTTCACAACCAATTTGTTTATATTATAGGTGAATATATTACCATATTCTTTAGAATGACGTTAAAACAGAATTGGAATATAATTGTCCTCTGAATGTTGGATTCTTGAAATATATTTACAAATTATTGGTAGTTTATTTTGAAACATCATAGAAAAACAGCTGAGAAAAAGATGAAGAACCTATATAAATATGGTACATCGTATACATATGTACCTCTGAAAAATTCATGTAATTAAAACTTTCCACAGTTTTTGAAGTACTTAAGAACCTTCCTATTTCAAAACTTTAAATGAACCAATTGCTTTGGAAGTACTGTATTATTTCAAGGATTCATCTATAAATCATAGATTCTACTCTTTTTGCCACTAAAAATCTTAGGAATAACGCAAAACTTAGAAAATCACCTTTTGGCTGTATTTTCAGTGCAAGTAATCGCCGTGTGTCACCTCTCCTCGTGTCGACTCTTCGAGATCTAGATAGCGAAGTGGGGGTTAGACCAATAGAGTAGGGGCCGGTAATCGCGTGCAAGCTGACGAGAGAGCGCATTATCGCCTAAGGGCATTGCATTTTCGAGCAAATTTCAGCGATACCAGTGTGGTTTAATCGGAATTCAAACGTCGTATCTCGCATCAATGCTAGTGTTCGAACGGTCGAGTTTCTTCACCCTGTGACCGTCAGGATACAATCGGTCATGATTTGACCTTTAAAGCGAATAATCCATTTTTTATCGTGCTTTTTTCCTTTGCATTTCTAGAAATAGCTGAGGTTCGACTACATATTTGTTCAAATGGTCTTGGGCCAAAATGATGTTAGTATTTAAAAATTTCTTTTGAATCATTTCTCAGAGGATTTGAGATAGGAATTATCTAATTATGGAAGAGCAGCTAAATCCACAAAGGAATTTTATTAGATTTGATCATGCTACTCCACAAAATTTCGCTGAAACGGATACTCCATATCTAAACGTGATAACTCGGCTCTCTGTGGCTTTATCTTCTACGCCATGTCAGAAGTAATTGGATCCATCTATTTAAACGACTTTGTTCGGGGAAACCGTATTTACATTTCCTTTGTGAATTATTCTATGAATTATTTTCAATAATATTGTTTTGTTATGAAATTTAAAAAAAAAATGACTCTAATGAGTTATTTCATTTTTGTCAGAAATTAATTATATCATATTAATCTGTATTAAAACATAGAAAATTATCAATAAAGACTATTAATATCCGATTTGTGATCTAGAAAATATAAAAAATTTCTAAAGGAATCCCTAAAAATCCGCAGTGTTGATTACCAAGCATCATCGAGGGGTAAATTAAAATTAAAGAACATGCCACAAAAGCATACCATGTAAACCCTACTCTAGTTCTCACCATGAATCGCGTGAACGCAAACATTACGTGATTCTAAAAATCCGTGCAACACCAAGAGACCTCGTTCTATAGCGGTAATTGTGCATTTTCATTTAGGTTCGCATTTTCGATACCGGTAATCCGGCGAATGTAATTTTATGCGGCGTTGATAATCTCCACGGGACGAATAGGTTTGATCATCTCATCGATGCACGACTACCTCGCGCCACAATGTGGCTATATTATTATTGCAGGGCGATATGCATAGTAGATGAAATTACCTGATTTAGTGGGATTTATTTCAATGATATACTCTACTTTAAATATTATGAAGTTTAAAATATGATTATATTAAATTAATTAATATTTTTTGAGGTTATGATCAGTTTTTAGGTTTGATAGTTTTTAAGATTTAATATGTTTGATCTTAAATTTTCATGATTTTGACAATTAATGTGGATACTAGCTTTTTTTGTATTGATTAATAAAAACAGAACATTTCTAATAAGAACAGAACAGCAAAATTTTATACACTATCACGTGTAAACTGTAATTAGAATTGTTAAATCCATTTTTGCAAACGATACCAGAAATATTAAAAAAAATGTATTGCAAAACAAGAGATCATTTTAATATTTATAGCTTTTCCCCTACATAAAAAGTCGCGATTGAAACTTGAATGGCGGTTCTTTTCACACGTTATATCTCAGCATGCAGCCTCTCCATTCTATATAAACGGCTCGTTATGCACTGAGGAAGGTCACTGTACTAAAATTATTTCCCTCAAATTTTCTGCATTTTTAAAAAAACCTCCTTCACTAAGGTTAACTTTCTCAGCAACGACCACACATTTTCTAAACGATTAAACAATTTCATCATCTTGCTTTTATAAAAATCGTGGGTTTTAGAATTAAAAAATTCATAGAACATACATTTCACATACATTTCAAATTGTTTACAGTGTAGTAATTTCACAATAATAAAACTGTATAGTTGCATTAAAAAATATATGTTGATATCGAAATTTTTATAGATAATAGTGTAGAAAACAAAGTCAAATATTCTATCAAGTTTCTCTCATTAAATCAAGCAACTTTTACACTAAAATATTTCCTCATAATAGTTGAAGAAGCAATCTTTACGTGTTGCATAAAACATATGGCCTTGAATAAGATTTGAACTCCTCATATTGCTGAAAATGTCTCAAATTACGTGTTTTTACCCTCGAAACGTGCAAACTTTAACTCCTGATAGTTATATCAGTTTCACCGATTATGTGTAACCTTTTAAGAAAACTATCCTTTTCAGGGTCACCCTGTACATATACCGGGCTGTGAAATGGTGGTATGAAGTATAACTGTATATACTTGAGCGTGACGTAAGAGAGTGCTCCATCCCCTCTATTACCTACCAAAATGAGGCGCGTGAACAGTCCTGAAACGACTCCTATCGTCAATACATGAAATGGCGATTTCTAAAGACGCTTAAGTGATTTTTGAGTGTTCGAATCATCAATTAGTAATAGGCCGACAATCATATTCTTCGATATTTTATTTTCATATCACTCGACATGTTTCATGTGTTTTACATCCTTTGAATGGTTGATCTGGTTCTTCTAAGATAATATTTTCATTACATTATTAAAATGAGTATTACATAAAAAGGTAGGAATTATATATACTAAAAAAATAAGATAGTGATTAAATAAAAATGGTTTAACATTTTAAGTAATAATAATGTTAATAAATTGATTTATTAGAAATTAGAAACTTAGGTATGTTTTTAGAAAGTTATATTATTCGTATCATTTTTCAATGTCTTTCAAATGGTGAATTAAATAATTTTTTATTAAAAATAAAGAATTACATATTAAAGTTACATATGTAATTCTCTCTAAACGAAATTAACGTAAGTCGATTAACAGGAATTAATTAGGTAGGTTAAGTTAAACAGAATACGACGCTATTTAGGGTCACGAACGCGAAGCCATACGACGAAAAGACACGTATAGTGTAGCTTAAAAAGCACGTGCCACTGATGCTACCAACGCATGGAACGCAAAGAAATGGGATGATCGATACACCAGTCATAAAGTGCCACACGTTTGACATCGATTTGCTTTAAAAGACACGTAACGTTCATGTCATATCTCGTAAAGTATACGAACTAAGTATGCTGAAAAAGATAGTAATAAAGTTCTAAAAATTACTCTGTATATAGTATATGGAGTTACTTCTACGTGCAATTTTCATATAAAAATATCAAACGTGTATGTGTGTGATAAATTATATCATTTTAGAATATATAATTTTGTATTACATTATATGAAATGATAAAGTTTTATTGTCACCCGATATCTACATACTTAAGTAGTAAATACTACTATTCCAGAATATTATTCTACGCTGCCATTTAGTATGTATACATACATACATATCGAGTTAATTTCAAAACAACTTCGATCTCTAAATGCGTTGACTAATAAATCCTACAATTCCAAAATATTGTTCCACGCCCCGTATCTGGTAACAAAACTTTAGAGC